TTTTCTCGCGGCTTTCTTCTCGGCAGCGAGGTGGGCACGTCAGGACCTGGAGCTGTTGAGGCAGCAGGCAGCTGTCAGCGCAGTTGGTTCTCGGCTAGAACCCGCGGAGCCTGCGGAGTCTGCGCCCTGCAGGTGCAGCTCATGGAGCGACAGCGGAGGCAGCGGAACCTCGAAGTCGGCAAGCTGCCAAAGGTGCGTCAGGTGAGCTCAGGAAGCTGCTCTTGCGCCGTTCTGGTAGGCAATGAAAGAAGTTCGCAATGCTCTCTTCGTAGAAACTCCTGCTGCGGCACAGGCGCCCGTTCGAGTCTGGATCACGACGTATGAAGATGTAAGCACTGCGAGAGCAAGTAACATGCCACTGCCATTGAATCTGAACGTCATGCTCTCTGATCAGCCAAGCATGCCAAGAAGATGGGTCTTGCGGTGTGCTGTAGTCAGGGCGGTTTGTATTTTGTAAAGCTGTTTGAAGGGCCACTTGGCTGCACAGCAGCTTCTGGACGAGGCGATTGCAGCTTATTGCGGCATCACAGCGCAACACAGCACAGTTGCATCATTGGTTCGCCCTCGTGGAGGTTCGGACAGAGCGTGAGCGCAGGCTCGCTGAAAAGCGTTATCTGGAGGACGGGTGGCATGGACGTCTCGATGGATCTGATCATAGGCTCGAGAGTGCAGGAAGACTTGCGATGTGTGCTGCCGGCAGGACCAGATCAAGAAATTGAAATCGGAGGTCGAGGAGCTCATTGTGATGAGAGGGTCAGACTGTGACGGTCAGACTGGACTGGACAAGAAGCGGTTGATGCTTGATCAGGGCTGCCCAGACTTCTTGAGAGAAAATGCGAGTGCCTGGACAGCCACGGGCAAGCCCTCCAAAATGACACCTCCAGCCACTTTTCATTTAAGGTTAACGTGCATGCATGCTGGCCTGGTCTGTTTCGAGAAGATTGTAAGGCTGTTCCCCCCAGAAGCCTTGCAGAAGCCTCCCCCATTGTGTAAATGCACCGTAGCAAGAGATCTAGCTGGTGCATGCTGGTACCTTGTCATGGCTTCAGCTTCTGCCATTTGCTCCTGTGTTGTCTTCAGATCTGATGTCTGTGATTTGCGGTCTGAAGGCTCATGTTGTCTTGTCAGCAGGAGATGGAGGAGGGGCAAGCCGCTACTCCAGCCTTTGACCACGAGAAGGAAAAGCTGAAAGCTTCTGCTGGGCACTGACATGTGCCGACGTTCTCAAGTTGTCCATGTACTGAGGTCTACAGTAAGTTTCTTCGCAATCATGATGCCACAAGTAGATACTCAGTGAGTGAACGCCCCAAGAGCTGGCAAGCTTCGTATGGTTTCGGTTTACAGCTCCGAAAGGCAGCGCACTATTCCAACGTGGATGTGTCACGTGCAGGAGTTGTATTATCCCAGCCCTCCGTGGTACAAGCAAGCTTGAGCAAAGGCAGACAAGGCATCCCTGCGGCAAAACAGGGGTAACACTCTGGGTCCGAGGATAGAGCGCAATGTCAAGGGATGTCAAGTGTTTGCCTCTGCTCAGGTCAGGCAACTGAAGATGTCGATTGAGTCCAAAGATCGATATGCATGCTGGGCATTGACCCCAGAACTGCACACTTACGGTCCGTTGTTCTTCATCGGCATTTCACGAGTCATCGGCAGGTCTGCAATCGCGCGCATGAGCGCCAAGACGAGTCTGCTGAAGGCTCCGATGCTGGCGAGGCACTGACGGCTTTGTCGGCACCAGCGAGTTCCTGACAGACCCGCCGTGGTCCTTGAGAACAATGCCAGGACTCCGACAAACATGACGAGTGCGTCATGATGCGGAGGCGGCCACCGGTTACGGTCCGTTTATCTTATGTGCAACACCGTGCGTGCGTGCGTGTGTGTGTGTGTGTATATATATATATATGTATGCGCAGCGTGCGCGTGCGTGCGTGCTTGCTTCGGGTTGCGGGTTTTCACTTCAGGCGCCTGGTAGAGATGGAGGAGGAGATTCGCGAGCTGACTGGCGAAGGAGGCACACGCAGCTACGCAGCATCGCACAGCTCACCCAAGACGAAGTGTAAGACCGCGCCTTCTTGTTCCGACTTCCCAGCTTATCCAGCTTCAGGAGCTGCTGAGACTTCTGAGCCCGCTCAAGCCAGGGCCCAAGAGCCTGCAGCTGATACTGGTGATGTCGATTTCAAGTCCGTCATGCTGTAAACGTATACGATCGCACATGTGAAGGCCAGCCAGAGCCGGTCTGTTGCTGAGCGCTTTGATTGCCTGGCAGTAAAGTCTCGAGGACAACAATGTCGGATGCTCTGGAACACAACTGCTGGATCTCAGGCCTTCTGCTAGAGTGTCCCATGAACCTCCCAGCGTGACAGAGTCAAGATTGAGCCGCATCCCTTGGGGCAGACTCTTTGCTGAAAACGCTGCGACCCTGACTTCATTCCACAAGGTCCATCGTCCACTCTTCGATCTTCTCGAGATCGAATGTCGTGGAGCTGATTTTTCAGCATCATTCACAACGCATCCGCTTACATCAGCCATTGGAGCGTCTTGCCAAAGCGGAAGAACCTAAGGCCAACCCCATGGACTCAGGCAGGCATCCATCTGATGGATGCACGATGGCGTTCGCCAATGAGAGTTTGGATCATGGGCAAGTGTCGGTAAGTGCAGGCGTCCACCGTGGCAGAGGCCATCCACTTGCAGCAGCTCCGAGCGCAGACTGACAGGGTTTCTGACAGGTATCTGTGCAGTTCTCGGATTCTGTCTCGGCCGTCACCTCGTTGGAAGTCCCGGAGAACGTCCCAGAGGCTATGAGACACATTGTTCATCAACCAGCCCAGCATAATATGGGCAGGTTGGCAACAGGTCCGTGCGCGACCGAATCCTAACCCCGTTCGTAGCGGCCAACGTGACTGCCTCCGAGGCAGAATCTTTTGTTGTGGCAATGGGCTGTCGGGACGATGCAAGTTTGCAGGATCGCAGAGCACTGCTGGCACCTGGCCTGTCAACAGTCGAGGAACTGCAGATGTGCATTCAGTAGCAAATCGGCATCTGCCTTCAGTCTGCCAAGTGTATCCAAGTGTTTTTCAGGAGTTTGAAGCACAGAGCTCCCGAGAGAGGCTTCGCTCAAGCCGAGACAGGACTGCACAACGGAGTCCCAGGGTCACAAGCAATTCTTCCGCACCAATATGCAGGATGCCTACACCTCATGTAAGCTCAGAGATGATCGAGGACTCGGCGCGTACAGCTTCGTACTGCAATGCGGTGCCCATGGGCTGGTCAAAGCGACACATCTTGCTGAGAGGAAACTGAGTTCTACGCATCTTCTGCAAAAACAGTCCGAATCTCCCCTGCAGCCGACACGGAGGCACCTCACACGTTTTCGAGACTGCTTCCTGTAGTTTTAAGTTGCAAGTTACTGTAGTCGGCTGTGCCAGGCCATTCCAGCCTCTGGCAGAAGACGGCCCAGCCGAGAGAGACAAGCCACCCCTTTCGTCAAGGATTGGTGACACTGGGGTCTTGTATTGTTACCGATCGTAGTTAGCACAAGCGCCCCGGGCATCTTAGACAGGCTGAGTGATTGCGTGTGCTCCGCGATACTCGTGAATAGTGCGTGAGCAGCTGAATTGAGCTTGCACTTGCAGTTGTTTCCGAAGCTACAGCGGCACAGCACCCCAGTCGTGTAGCTGAGTTGCGGTCCAGGCGTTCACCTTTCAAGCTGTTGTCCCGTTCCCGCATGGAGGGCATCGTCTGCTATTTGCAACTGCTCATGATGCACCCATTTTGCTATATAGTCGTGAACGTTATGAGGCTTGATCTTTGATAATGTCTGATGCTGTAGCCTGGTGTCAGGAGGAAGAC